AGTTTGAGGGGAAGCATCAGAGGCTTGAGGGTACACCAGATAAGTCATGCATAATCCTGTTGACTTATTTTGCTCATCAAGTGGCTTTGGAAACACTGCCAGGTCTGGAGGCTTAGTTTGTGTTGTTTTATAAAAAACCAGGCTTGGCTTACTGTACCTAAATCATTCTGTTTACTGTATACAAATATTCTGGTCTGTCTAGGAAAAGGAATATGCTGATCAGAGCTGCTCTGTCATGGCTCATCTCCACCCTAACCTGGCCTCTCCTTCCCCAAGCCCTCCACCTCCAGCATGTGATTTATTGGGAGTTACTCTGGCCAGTGGATGTTCAGACAGCCTGTGTAGCTGTGTTCTCTTTTGTGTGGCTTGGCCTCTCTCTGGGCTGTGGCTTTGCCCCATTTCCACACAGCTGGAGTGGTGAGAAAGAAAGATATTTGGGGCTGAGTTGTGGTGAGTGGAGGATGGTTTCTGGGAGGCTCCTGGGACTGCGTGCCAGTGCTTTTCCTGTAGAGTTTTCCTCACCTGAGCACCAAGATAAAATACAGAAAGCAGACATTGGTTTGGCCAAGTGACACTCCCTTCCTGAGCAGCCCTCTGGCTTCCTCCTGCCTTGTCCATTGTGGAACACCTTGCTGAGGCTCGAGGCCAATGCTCCTCTTCTCAATGGCATGGCCCTGGCTGGAGGTTGGAGCTGTGCTGGTCACAGAGGAGAACCTGAAGTAAGAGGGTGGAAGGAACCATTCTGGTTTGGCTGTGTTTTGGTGGAGCTGGGTGAAAACACAACTTGAAATGCAAATTTTTTTTCAGTTGTGGAGATTTGTGATCCCTTATGACCTTTCACAGACCTCCTTTCTTCATCTGTTTTCTTCTGTTTGGTTCAGCCCTCTGTATTAATGACAGATATTGCCAATCAGCTACTGAGTTCTGGCTTCTGTTATTCCTCTGCAGAAGAACAGTGGAATCTTTATGATAAACCTACATAGTGGACAAATATGTTTGTCATAGTTTTTGAACTTGCACTAGACAGCCCTTATGTCCAAAGCTCAATTCAATACCCTACAGAGAAAGGAGTGATGAAAACATTTATATTATACAATGTGATAAATGTAAAGAAGGGTGAAATTAGTACTCCATGGTAATCTGAATAATCTGCAAGACTGTGAACATCTGACTTCAGGTCATTCAGTGTCCAGTGCAGACCATTTTTTGTGGAGCCTCCATCCTTGGAGGTTTTCAGAAGCTGTCTGGGCATGGTCCTGGGCAACTGACTCTTGCTTAAGCAGGAGGGTTGGACAAGTGACCTGCAGAGATGCTGAACCTGTCTGTGACTGCAGGATTCAAATCCTATCAGTCAGTGAAAGACACTCAGTGAAAACAAAAATGCTGTTCAGTGCTTTATAAGACCTCAAAGGGAGTTGCTTCTGCTTGCACTCACAGAAATGTTAAAGATTTTTCAGAGCAGCCTGTTGTGAAGGTGACTTTCAGGGTCACGGGAGGGGGCTTGAGAAGAGACATGTAGAAGTAGTTTAATCCTGACAAAAGTAGGAGTTAATCCAATTCTTAACCTCTCAATTTGAGAAGTCTGATGGATCTGCTGATCTACAAACAGGTCCTCTCCCTACATGTCTCTCTGCTGCCCCATATGCCCATCAGTTGGGGTTGTTCAGCCTGGAGAAGAGAAGGCTCCAGGAGACCTTATAGCAACCTTCCAGTACTTGAAGGGGGCTTATAAGAAAGATGGGGACAATGTTTTTAGCAGGGCCTGTTGGGGCAGACAAGAGGTGATGTTTTTAAACTAGAAAAGAGTAGATTTAGACTAGATGTAAGGAAGAAATTTTTTACAGTGAGGGTGGTGAAATGCTGAAACAGGTTGTCCAGGGAAGTGGTAGATGGCTCATCCCTGGAAACATTCAAGGTTGGGTTGGATGGGGCTCTGAGCAACCTCCCCTGGTTAAAGATGTCCCCACTTAGTGCAGGGGGGTTGGACTAGATGACCTTTAAAGGCCCCTTCCAACCCAAACCATTCTGTGAATCAGTGTTCACCAGAAGAGAAACCTGGACATGGTGTTTTCATGCTGTAAGACCTCCTTTTCCAAAGCATTCCTTGTGTTGGTGGGCTCAGAGGACAGTGGGACTGACACTTTAACTGCTCCAGTGTAAAAGGACAGTCCCATTGTGAATATTCATTAATTCAGGTTTGCTCTGGCTCTGGTCAAGTTCTCTGCAGAAGGTGGCACCCATGGCAGGCTGGGCTAAAGTTCACTAAAGTTCATCCAGGTGTAGAAGGTCTGCAGAAGTACCTGTCTGTCCTCATCTCCACTGCTGGGAGGGGATATGTGGGCAGAAAGGCAGTTGGACTAGGTGAGCTTTGCAGTCCACAGAATGAGCTTGTAACAGGTTAATACTGCATGATAGCTGCCAACTCATTTTTGGTGGGGATAAGGGTATTCTCTCACCCTCCCTTTAGCCATCTCTGCAGAGCACTGTCCCTGGGTGGTTTGCAGATAGGTGGGTTGGTGAATTTGGGCAGTTGACTTCCATCTGTTGAGCACTTGCATGATAGTTTGATACTTCCCCAAGTATGATGACTATTCTCTTGCTGCTTTCCTGTGGAGAATATCCACCAACAACTATTGGAACTTGGCTGAAAAACCAGTGGCAGACTTTACTGAGTGTTGGCCCCGTAGGAACATCGTGCTGTCTGTAAACTGGATTAGTGGTTTGCCATTCTTACTCAGTTAACACATTGGCATTTGGTTTTTCTCCTCATTCTGTGGAACAGAGAAGCCCAAGTGGACAGCTGTTACAAAAATTTCAGATATAAACCTTTGCTAGCCACAAGTCTATCAGCCCTGGTCAGCTTCTCAGTTGAACAACCAAAAATAATTGAAAAGAGTACCCATCCTTCCTTGAGTACTTTAGCTGCTGCCTGCTTTCTGTTTTCTCTAAAATTAAGGACACTAGAATTAACTTCCTTAACAATGAAGTGCTTTGAGTTGTTTCTTTCAGGATGTGCCCTTCAGATAGGGGAGTGGTAGCTCACTCCCTTTTGCAAGGAAACAAATTCCACCACGTGTGCTCTGCAAAATTCCTGGCACAGCTTGTTCTGCATGTGAGCACCAAGAATTATCTTCCCATTGTGCCAAGTGTGAGCATTTCCAACAGTGTTTCCCCATTGCTATTTAAACTTCTTGATGTTTAATGAGAGTGAAGCGTTTGGTTGTCAGTGATGTGTTGTTCTGTTTTATTTTGGTTTTTTTTGTATTCCTTACATAAATCAGATTTGCCAAACCAGTGTTCTCCTGATCCTTGTCACAAAGAGGGGACTGTCAAATGTGAAGACCTCAAGGGGGACTTCTATTGTGAATGCAAGCGTGGCTGGCAGGGAAAAACCTGTGAAAAAGGTAATTTGGTTTCAGTGTCTTTCATACTTGTAACAAAGATGTAATTTGCTGTATTCTGGAGTGGTCACTGATACTGTGCAGAACTGACCCTGGCTTGCATTCCACTCCTGTTCCATCCTTCTGTCAATCAGGTCACTCCTTCATGTCAACATTTTGATATGACTACAGTGGATCTCAGCTTGGTCTTTGGCAAGGTGATCTAAGAATTTGTGCTGCAGCTTTCTGTGCCTCTTGTCTGCAAGGGGCAGCAGGGGTGGAGTTGTAGTGGCTTTTCAGGCAGAGCTGCTGCAGCTGCTGCTCTGAAGCCTGGTGTGGCAGGTCACAGACTGCAGAGCCAGAGAAGCTGGCCCATATCCCTCTCAGCCATGGGGACAGTGACTTTCAGCAGGCACACTGGGGGCTGAGTCTGAGGATGCACAAACTCATGAAATTAGTCTGGTAAAGCCTCCTTGCTAGCAGGACCTTATTCCACATCTGCTTAATCCCACTATGTGTTTCTGTCACCTCCAAAGAGAATATTTGGGCAGAAACTATTTGTGCAAGAAGATCCAGGCCCCCAGAGACCTTTCTGCCTTTATGGAATACTGAAGTTATCTTCCCTCCTCTTGTTTTCTGTTGGTTTGGGGTTTTTTTCATCTGCTTGCAAGGCTTCCTGTCAGGGCCACTGACTTTTCTCTCTGCCAATATTAAGTAATTGCCAGAAATTGCATTCAGCCAGTGCAGCAACCAAGACAGCAGGAGCTCCAAAGCCTTTCCTCCTAATGTAAATATTATGGGGAGATTATAGGACCCTTCCCAGCAGCTTATTGAAGCATGTGAAGCAGTTGACTGATCAGTATGCAATCAGCTTTGAGAGCTCTGATCAGTTTGAAGCATATCCTCTCTTTTTCTTATAAAATACCCTGAAATGTGTTGTTCTGCCCATCAGAGTCCCATAGATGATCAGGACATAATGAGCAGGTTGGGCAAACTGAGGGTGACATCCAGGTCTGCTGCATTTAACAGCCTTTTGCTGCTAATTCAGTGGAGCACAGTTCAGCTCACAGTGTTCAGCAGAAAATACCCTGAAATGTGTTGTTCTGCCCATCAGAGTCCCATAGATGATCAGGACATAATGAGCAGGTTGGGCAAACTGAGGGTGACATCCAGGTCTGCTGCATTTAACAGCCTTTTGCTGCTAACTACAGTGGAGCACAGTTTTAAGTTCAGCAGCTGTGAACTGAAAACTTTTTGTGTCCTCAGGAGTTCTGTAGCAGTAAGGATATATTGTTCTGGTTTCATGTAGAGCTTTCATCCTGAATTTGCTGGTCACAGCATAATTTGTAAAGTCAGTTATGATATGAAGCACGTTAGTTACAATTAGTTTGCTTCTGCAAACAAACTTCTTCACCTCCACAGTGACTAAAGATACTCCTCTGCATTCTCAGAGCTGTGAAGGAGATAGTTACAGTTCCTTCTCTTTTTTTTGTTTATTAGATAAACTTGTGCTAAGGTACTTGAAGTGTTTGACTAAAATCTTTGGGTTTTGTCATCATTGTGTCGCAGCTGTAATCGTGTTTATTTTTTCCTAACACCTGCCCCACTCTCACTCTCCAGATGGTTTGCAGAGGTGAAAAGCTGACTCTCCCACTTTCTTTTGATGCAGATGTTGATGAATGCAAAGTGCAGAACGGTGGCTGCAACCAGCTCTGCCTCAACAAGCTGGGCAGCTACCGCTGCTCCTGCCACAGTGGCTATGCTCTCAAAGACAGCAAAACCTGTGAAGGTAAGCTTTGCTCAGCCTCTCACTTGGCTTCAGCTGATGCTTTGTGGCTATTTCAGTGAGCTGGGCTGCACTGAGCAGCCCTGGTCTACTCCAGAGCCCAGCAGAGACTTGCTGGTGGCTCCTGTTAGCTGCTCTGTGCTGGGATGATTTTGGGTGCCTCAGCCAGCACTACATGCCTGGGCTTGTCAGCAGTGCTACTCTCCAGTATCATAACACAGGGGTGATTCACAGAGGATTTGTGCCTTGGATTGTGCTAAATTGGTTTAGCTGATCCCTGCTCATATCCTGACATTGAGAGGAGGAAGGGCTGGCCCAAGACATTGTTATGATTCTTTCCAGTCTCACAGTGAGGTAACATGTGAGCCCCTCGGTTTTCTTTTGTGTGCTTCTTATTTTGTTTTTCTCAGTTTGGCTCTGCGAGGCAGCTAATGAATTCAAATAGATACAGATGGATAAATTCACTGCAACTGAATATTAATAGCTGTAGAAAGGACCTCGTTAATGTTGGCAGCTATGTTACACAGGAGCTGAAAACAGAATCTGGAATATCTGATTGAAACTGCAGAACAAATTTACATAAGGAGAGCTTAAGCAACTGAGATTTTAAAAGTGTTAAGAAGCTGCATGCTGAGGCAAGGACTCATTAATGATCACAGATGGCTCTTAAAGTTCTGTGTATCTCATGAAAAGACAGGCAAGTCTTTGTATAAACCTCGCAGAGATGGATGTGACCACATATTTCTAAACAGTTTGCATACCTGATCTGAACAACATTTTAATGCAAAAAAGACAAAGAGCAGCTCTTTATTTCTGTCTTACTGCCACTTTTTACAAAACCTGGTGACTGCATGCACCCCGTGGTATCCCTTCCTAATGGGAGAAGCTGCTCAGAAGAGCCAACCTCACTGCTGAATTGTCCTCTGGTGCCAGTTGCCATGGACAGGTGGACAGCCAGTGGGCTCACCATTATGTTTATTTTCATATCTGTGTATATTTGTATAATACCATAGTGCTGTCTAGTTAGTAGAGCACTGTGACCTAACTACAAGCATTTTGTGGCCTCAGCCTGTGACCCTGCAGTGGCTGAGGTGACTGTCAGCTGTGGTGAGTGCTAGCTGGGATTTATCAGTGCATTTCAGTTTGCTTTCATGCTTATTCCTATCAGTGTGCACACATTGAAAAGTTATGGGTTGTCTGTTGAGTGGCAAACTGGGCTACATAGGATAGTAGACAGGCTACTATTGGCCAGTTCTCTCAGCTGTGGGAAAGTCACCAAGTGTAAAATGCAATTGTAGTTTTAATATGGACTAGAAAGCAAAAGTAAATATTAAACTCTAGGTAGACTCCAAGCATTTTGTCAACACCAGGAATTTCCTGGGTGTTAGAAAACATGTTTTAGACCCAACAGTTGTTTGTTCTTATGGACCTCCAGCTCCAGTCTGCTGCCTGCCTTCCTGGTGAAACCTTGTGACATCCCTCAGACATGACCTGTTCTCTGTGATAAATTAGCTGCTTCAATTCCCCTTTACCACTACAGATTTAGGTCTTAGTTCTGTGAAGGCATGAAAAATTATCATTTGCCTGTCTAAGGAAGGAGAAGAGAAATCTGTGATGCTCCACAGGCTGTGTGTTCCTTCTGTATTTTGCTAAAATTCATACTGTGGTTCCTCAGTTCCTTCTTGCTGCTTTTTAAACCTGCACTTTCAGCCCCCTGAATGTAGTGGGGCTTTCTGGTTTTGTGGGATTACAGTTTTTCTCCTGGCTCACTTTGCATTGTTTTTTGCAGTAGTAGTTAATAGCTGAACAAAAGACAGACCAACTGGTTTTGAAAGCCTGAAGTCATTTCCTACATGTAGCTAAGGTAGATTCTTAAAGACATTGTTTTTTTTCAGTTTCCAAACTAATATAGGGATCTCATGACCCTGTGTACAAAGACTGAAGTGATTATCCTGACCTGAAGTTGTGTTAACTGCTTGTTTTGCAGACATAGATGAATGTGCAACATCAGCAGACATCTGTGGAGAAGCTCGTTGTAAAAATCTGTTAAGCTCCTACGAATGTCTTTGTGATGCAGGCTACAAGTATGATGAAGTGAAAAAGACTTGTCAGGGTAAGCTCATGAAATAAGCTTAGCATTTATTACATTATTTAAAGCAGTAGAAAACCAGAAATATAATTTTGGGCTTCAATAAAAGCTTGTCTTCTTATTATTTATTATGTTTTTTTAAATCTTGCTGACACTGGACTTCTGCTCCCTCCCTTTTCCTCTTTGTGAATGAGTTTGCAGTTTGCAGTCACCTTTGAGGCCATTGAGTTTGCTGTCATTTTTGATGACCTGAGTCAAGCTTTAGGAGCCAGAGGACTGAGGTTTCTTGGATTTATGACAAGTGTAAGATCTGGTGGAAGCTCAGAGGCCTCTGTGCATGTTGCTGTCTCTCTTTTTAGCACAAGAAAAGCTACAGAGCTTCAGCTTTCAGTAGCTGTTGTTCTTTCAAAACCTTTCTTGTGGTATCACTGAACTAGGAGCTTAATGCCTTGGGACCATGCACAGTTCTGGCTGCACTGCCTGCAAGCTTTCTCAATGGAGTAAGTTTTGAAAGTATTCCAAAACTAGCATTGTTCTGTCCCTTCTGTCTAAGTTAACATAACGACTTGAATCCCCTGCCAGCCAGCCCTGCTGGGCTCTGGGTGTTTATCTCTGCCTGAAGAGATCCTTGTGGGTCATCACAATTTGTTTTCCTTCATTTGTTTTTGGATAAAAACAAGCTGAAGGGAAAAAAAACAAAAATAATGAATGAGAAACAGCTTTTATTTGTCTCTTGAGGATGTAGCTTGTGAGTAGCAATGAAGCAAGCAGTCCCTGAGCTGATCCTGAGCTGAAGGAGCAGGAGCTGGTTAGCAGAGGGATAGCAGAAGGGCCTCGAGGGAGCAGGTCTTCCCTAGAAATTAGAGCCCAGGGCTCTGGACCAGCAATAAAGTTGTTGAGCTCTGCTTCCAGCCTTCTCACCGACTTACTGTGTATCTTTGGGCAGCTGGAATCTGTGAAAATAGGTTTGTGCAGATGCTAATTCTAACTCTTCCCTCCTGTAAAGATGTGGCATAGGGTAAGTACTGGCTACGGAGCACTTGGGCACACCCAGATGAAAGGTGCTACAAAACAGCACTGATAATGTTTTTTCCTCCCAGATGATTCCCGTTTAAACAAATTCAGTTGCTATTTTCTCCTCTCTTTGCTGGTTTTGTGTAGATATAAATGAATGTGAAGAAAAACTCTGTGAGCAGACCTGTGTCAACTCACCAGGGAGTTATACCTGCCATTGTGATGGCAGAGGGGGAGTAAAACTTTCCCAGGACATGAATACGTGTGAGGTATGTTAGTCTCCATTCCTGTGACTGCAGAACAGACCTTTATTTCAGGTTGTAATTAAGAATAACTGATGAAGCTGTGGACCAAAGTGATGTGAGCTGAGTGACCAGCGGGAGGGCATCGTATTGGCAAAGGGATGTGAGCTGGGGACAGGACAGGATTTATGCTGTACCTTATAAGTATGATTTCACTTTGCAACAGGAAAACATTCCTCCAAGGTGGATAGGAGGGAGAAGGGAAGGAAAGAGGAAATGTCCTCAGTACCAAGCCAGTTGTATTTTGAGAGTATAAACATTGAAGAGCCCTAACCTACTATGAGTATAACTACCTGAGAAAAGGAGGCACACGTCGATTCTCTTTCTGGTTTGCCAGGAGAATGAGCACTCAAAAATGTGTTTTGATTATAGAACATTAAACCGTGTGTGCCTTTTGCTGTTGGAAAAAGCATTAAATCCTTGTACCTGGGGAGGATGTTCAGCGGCACTCCCGTTATCAGGCTGCGCTTCAAAAGGAAACAACTGACAAGGTGAGGACAATTTAGAATGCCAGTGGAGTGCCCTGTTTGCCTTTAATGCATGCAATGGAGTTAAGTCATTACCCTAACAATTAGTCCTGTGATCATCACGATCTGTTTGGATTATGGAATAAAGTGAACCATTATCCAACAGCAGTAACTGAGAGAGGCAGCCTTGATCACAGAGCTCCCGGGATCATCACTGAAACACAGTGATGTGCTCTTTATTCCTGAAGCTCTTCCAAAACCCCTCCTCAGAGCTGAAGTCTTTCAGGGGTGCATTGAAAGCTAGGCCCTTTTAGCAGAGCTTTATAACCGCTAGGATTGATGTATGGAAAGTGCTCGGTGGTTTTTGAACTCTGCATAACTAACTTATTTCTTGGCCCCTGTGCGGTCAGACTTGTGGCCGAGTTCGACTTTAGAACCTTTGATCCTGAAGGTATCCTTTTCTTTGCTGGAGGCCGCCAAGAGAGCAGCTGGGTGGTCCTGGCCCTGCGCAAGGGCCGGCTGGAGCTGCAGCTGAGGGACGGCGGCGTGGGCCGCGTGACCAGCAGCGGGCCCCTCATCAGCCACGGCATGTGGCAAACGGTGAGTCCAGAGCCCTGCCCCCTGCCCGGGGGGCAGCTCCACAAGGTGTTCTTCCCACCTGCCTACCCGTGAGAATCATAGAATCCTTTAGGTTGGAAGAGACCTTGAAGATCGTCAAGTCCAACCATCAAGCCAACGCTACTAAGTCCTCTGCTAAAACAGATCAGAATCTGTCAGGGCTGGAAGGGACCACAAGGATCCCCCAGTTCCAACCCCTCTGCCATGAGCAGGGACACCTCCCACTAGATCAGGCTGCCCAGAGCCTCATCCAGCCTGGCCTTAAAGACCCCCAGGGATGGGGCCTCAACCCCCTCCCTGGGCAACCCATCCCAGGGTCTCACCACTCTCATGGGGAAGAACTTCTTCCTCACATCCAGCCTGAATCTGCCCACTTCCAGCTTTGCCCCATTCCACCCCAGTCCTGTCATTACCCAATATCCTAAAAAGTCCCTCCCCAGCTTTCTTGTAGGCCCCCCTAAGATCCTGGAAGGCCACAATAAGGTCACCTCGGAGTATGGTGTGCCAGTATCTGATAGGAGCCAGTAGCTGATGTGTTCTAAGGTGAGAGTGAGCTGTGTGTCCTAACAAGTGAAGTTAGACTTCATCCCCGTTGTAAGCCAGGCTGCAGCACTGCTCTGCACAACCAGACTCTGCCTTGGAGATGCCCCAGTGCTCAGCTGACCTCCCATCAGGTGGAGAAGATGCCCTCTGGCTGAGGGTTAGAGGGAAGGAGCTCTGGAGCTGTTCCTTTAAGGACATTTCCAAGGGTGTTTGGTGTATGGGGGTGTGTGGCTGCTTTTGTTTGTTCATCTCTTTGTTAGTTTGTTCAGTCTCAACAAGTCTCTTTTGCTACAGCATCTTTTTGTTGAGGTGTTCAGACTTGTTCATACACAAACCAGAGCGTTTCCCTTGTGAAGACACTGGGGTCAGGTAGAATGTCTCTGGTTGCTAATAATGTCATCCCAGCAATCTCCCAGGATGATGGTCTGCATCTCAGAGCTTGTAAGGATTCCTCTGCTTGATGCTCTCCACAGAACATCTCCTGGTGCTGCCGTTTGTGACAGGATCATGAAGAGCACCCTGTAGTATGATCTAGAGGGCATTAGCAATTTGTAATTTGCCTTCTTCTGCCTTTTCCTCTCTTTCTGTATTTTCTCTTACTTAATTAGATCTTTTGCCTTTGAAGTTGATGTGTCTCTGGGGGAGTGGGTGGGAAGTTCTCAGCTGACACACATATGAGACAAATACAGATACTGGCAACAATAATTTTCTGCTTTAAATTTTTTAGTAGCAAAACCAAAAAAAAATCTGAAATATACATTAAAGAAAAAAGCACAGTGGGAAAAACTCTGTTCCTAATGAATAAATAAAGAAGTCCTTGAGTGCATTCATTGTCAGCTACTGACATTTGGTAGTAAGATTCGTTCTGTTAATTTGGAATGTGGCAATTGTAACTGCCTGCACGGAGATGAAGGTGGTGGAAGATGTGAAAAGCAGAGCTGGTGCCACTGGGGTGACTTGGGAGGGACAAAAAGTGGTCATTACTGAGCTAAACTATTTAACACAGGAGTGTAATATACTTGTTAAGGGCCAGACCTCATTATGAAGTGATTATAAACTCTCCCATGTTAGTTTTGAGGGATAGAGCTGAAATATTACTTTCTTTCTTAAAGTAATAGAAAAAGACTCAAACACAGAGGAGTTATGGGGTAAAGAAAGGCTGTGCTTGCTTTCTGCAGGGAGAGAAAGCAGGATGATAAAAGGATGATAAAAGTGCTGATGAACATCAGCAGGAGGAAGGAGCCTTGACTTGTCTCTTGACTAGTCTCTAGTCTCTTCACTTCATGGTAGACTCACTTCTGAGACCTGAGATGCTGCTTGGGGTGCTGGGTGCTGTTGATTTCTTCATTCTCTGCTTAGTTTCTTATCCCTTGTCTCCACCTTACAGGTACTTTGTTCTCTTCTGCTTAACATCCAGTGTCACTGCTGTCTCTAAATGCCATTTAATCTACACAGCAGAGTGATACATCTCTAAATCTGTTCCTCCATTTTATCCTCACCCTCATCTCGTTCTTTTCCTCTCTACAGCATGATTTTTAAGTTGGGAAATCCTGCTGAGGAGTTATTCCTTTTTTATCCCTCTCCTTTTATAAAACACGTGGCCACATGTTTAATTTTAAATATGGACTTGAGTACCTTTTTCAGCCTCACCTTTTGTGAAGCACAAACTCAATAACCTGGTCACAGCCCAGACTCAGATGTAGCCTGGGAACTTTAGTCTGGACTTCAGTATGGACAGGATCAAGCCTGTAGTTTTGGTTAGACCTAGAACTTCATAGGAGGAGTGAGAAAATAGAAACCTTACTATTTAGATGGAGAAGCAATGGTTATTTAAAAGCAAAATGTGATAAAAAGCACCAGCAGTGTATGTCTTTTGGTTTCTTGAACAGGAGTTGCATACTTTTATGGAAATACAAAGGCCTTTTCAAACCTTCAGGGCAGTATTTCTCCCTGGGTGCTTTCTCCAGTGTTGATCCCTCCTAACCTATTTTTAAACTCTCATTCCCAGCATTGAAAACACAAACAAGCAATTCTCAGGCAGAATGTCTAACGTGGTTATCTGTGTGTCACCCAGCTGGATGGAGTGGCAGGTTTGAGCTGATGATAGCAGAGAACACACTCACCTCCTAGCTGCTTTGCATTTCCACAAAAAAAAAGTCATCATTTTGTCTTCTTTTCAGTGGTCAGTTGGGCAGTGCTTTGGGGACAGGACCATCAGCAAAAATCACAGCTCACCTGCCCTGTTAAATGTGGGGACTGGAGGTTAATTCCTTAAGGAATTGGAGCAGTCTAGCTGCCCAAATGCTTCCCCTTTTGGTTTGTGGGTGATGGTGGTGCACCAGCAATTATATCTGAATATATCTGAGCCACAGCTGAAGCTGCCAGAGGGCAACGTGGAGTGGGCAGAATGTAATTTCCTAAACTGGAATGTGTTAAGAGCTTCCACAGGGTTTATTAACCACTTCTAGGGAAGTTTCCACTGATTTGGGTTTGTTTAGATTAATGATCAGAAGCAGCTAAGCACGCAGACTTAATTTTTGAACATGTCTATGCTATCACTTTCTATGGAATCTCATAGAAGTTTAGAACACCCTGAATATTGGTGGCCCTGCAAGCTGCAGGATTTCTTCCCAGAGAAATCACATTGCTGCAGCTGACTTTGCCCAGTTCCCATTTGCTCTGTGGCTGCCTGGGATCTGTGCTGGGAGCAGGGGATGGTCTGTGCCAGCTCCGTGGTGCTCCATACCCTGGTGCTCTAGGTGACCATGGCATCGAGCAGAGGTGCCAGAGTCAGTTTTTAGCCTGAAAGGCAGGTTGAGCTGGGGCTGCCAGGACCTGTGGGCTTATGTTCCCACCCACTGAGAGGACTTCACAGTCTGCCAATGCCCAAAAAAAAGCCTGTTTGGGACTTGCTTGTGTGTCTCCACAGAGCACAGTCAGGAGGTGCAAATGCCACTGTAAACAGGCAAGCTTCAGACAGGTAAATTCATGTCCTGGAGGGTACAGCACAGAGCAAGACTCCAGGTGTAGTGTCCCAGCAGGATAAACCAGGCTGGCCTGGAGTCCACAGGGGAAGAAGAAAGTTTGAGAGTCTGTGAATAATCTTTTCAATTATCAAATTCACTTTATCTTCATGACTGAAGGCTGCAATTCAAAGGGAGTGCCCAGATAGAAACTGCTCAAGCCTGGCCTCTGCCTGACAGCCAGAGAGCAAGGGCTGAGCCTGGCTGATGGAGACAGCTTTGGGACAGCCCCTCTTGGAATGCAGAGAGAAAGATGCTCATCACTTGGCTAATTAGCAGGGAGAGGGGAGAGTGAGTCTGAGCAGCTGCTGAAGTGGCTGTTTGGTTCTGTACAGGGGTTCACTGATGGAGGCAGCATCTGGGTGGCTCAGGGAGCAGAGCTGTCCAGATGAGGAGTGGGGTGGTGGAGCAGCTCTCATGGGTGTGAAGTGAGAGTTTCAGGGGTCAGTATTTAGGAGATTTTGGCTGGAAGGGTTCAGCATGGTGTCACTGGTCCAACAAAAGACACCTGAGCTGTCTTTTCCTTTCACAGGCAGCTGCCATAGGAAGCTTCTCATGAATAACTCTTTATTGCATTTACATTTTGCACAGAGCAACCTACAGATGTCCTGTAGTTAATCACCCACCCCAGGTTGCTTCCTGGAGTAAAGATTTACATGTCAAGGTGGAATGGAACAACAGGGAGAGAAAGAGGCTTTGGGGACAGCAAATGCTTCTCCATCCTGGGGGTTTCACTGGTGATGTCCATCCTTTAGTTGAGGCTGCAGGTATTAAATTGTTTTTATACTGAATTAGTCTATTTTTTTCTTTTTTTTTTCAGATTTCTGTTGAAGAACTTGAAAGAAGTTTGGTTATAAAGGTCAACAGAGATGCAGTTATGAAAATAGCTGTCTCAGGGGATCTGTTTACTCTAGAGAAAGGACTGTATCAGCTGAATTTGACAGTAGGAGGCATTCCTTTCAAAACCAAGGACCTTATTCAACCAGTAAGTATAGCACGATCCTTCATCATGTTTTGCATGCCTGAAGGGCTTGATTTCCTCTTCTCTTGGGGCAATGTAGGTCCTTCCTGAGAGCAGTTCAGCCTGCCCTGAAACAGGTGGAATTAGCACCTTCTGGATACAGCTTTCTCTCCATTGACTATAGAGGGAGCCTAAGCCAGTAGCAAAGGTGAGACTCCTGATTTTCTGATTGCTAAGTTGAGGTGAGATCTATCCCACCCTTGGCCTGCAGAGTTAGGATGCAGGAAAACTGGAGCAGAGGACAAATTAATGGTGGCTGTGCTGGCTTGAGACCATGAGTGGCTCTGGGGGGTCAGAGGACACACCACTGGATCTGGAAACAACCCTGGGGGCATCTTTTGTATTGTGACTGAAGTTTGGGCTTCAAATACATCCTGCCATGGTTCTGCTGCTTGTGTTTGCTGTTTCAGGTTAGTGAGATCCAAGGACAAAGGGGAGCTTATGTTTCTTTATTTCCTCCTAATCCAAGTGGCTAGGGTGTATGAATAGCAGTTGAGGAGCTCCTTGGGGAGATTAGATGGTTGCTGTGTTTGCAATAGCTGCTGCTGGGGCTGTTTTGAACATCTACCTCACAGGGACTTGGCACCTGGAAACCCAAATTGGCCTGTCTTAACTCCTAAAGGAGGTGACAAGCTTGCAGCTCTGTGACTGGGAGTGCAGCAGCTGAGGAAGGCTCCTGTTCCTCACAAGAAGTCATTCAGGGCCACTGCTCCTCTGAAGCATTAAGCTCAGGGTGTGGTCTGAACAGAGGATTGAGCCAAAAACTCCTGAGGTTTTTATCCTGGCTCAGACACTTAATTCTCTGCTCCAGTTAATTGGGGGTAATGGTGCTGATTTAGATGCTTTGCAGGGAGCCTTCTCTTTTCATGCTGTCTCACATTTGAATGCTGCCACTGGGTGCAGGACAACATAACTAGAAGCTGGAAGGAAAAAGGTGTGTCCTTTTTACAGCTCAGGCACCTTTCCCTTAAGCCAGAACCCAAAGGCTTAATTAGTACCAACTTCTTGTGTGTCTTGAAGCCTATTTGCAATGATACAAAGGATTTTTTTCAACAAGCAAAGGGGTTTTTTTTTCAACTTCAAGTTAGCCTCCAGCATTCACAGTGCAGAATTATGGCAGTTACACAGCTTGGGCTGTAGAGTTTGGGGATTAAACCACCCTAATGATGTGCAGCATGTAGAGGAGCTAACAAAATCAGTATGACCAAATCAACACCTCCATTAGGACGTGCCCTTCTGTCCTGTGCAGACAAGCTGAGCTCAGGGGGGTCTCCTGGGGAACACTGACCACTTCCCTGCTTGGGGCTGCAGGACTGGGGTTGCTGCAGTTGGTTTGCACGTGCATAACACAACAAAATGATCTCTCCTATTGAGTATCATCATGTGCCTCAGTATTTGCCCCAGAAGGAGTTCCCCTGCACTGAACAGCAGCTTGAGGCATGAGATACTGCTCTGTCTTCCTAGATAAACCCTCGGCTGGATGGGTGCATGAGGGCTTGGAACTGGTTGAATGGGGAGGACACCACTATCCAGGAGACCATCAAGATGAATGAAAAAATGCAGTGCTTTGCTGTGGCAGGACGAGGCTCTTTCTATCCTGGCCGAGGTTTTGCTGTCTTTAATCTCACCTACAGTAAGTACTTTCCCTTTTTTCTCTTTTAAATTTCCAACCTGTTGTCCTACCACATTAACCACACTGGTTAATGAACAGTTTCATCAGTGCCCTGGATGAAGGCACAGCGTGTACCCTCAGCCAGTTTGCTGGTGATCCAGCACTGGGAGGGGTGGCTGACACACCATAGGGCTGTGCTGACATTCCGTGGGACATGGCACGGCTTGGCACGCAG